AGTGGTCCTAAAACGGAACCTTGAGGAACACCGAAATGTACAGTTGATTTGTCGGAGGACAGACCATTCACAGAGACAATATGATATCTTTCCGACAGGTAGGATCTAAACCAGGCCAGAACTTGTCCGTGTAGACCAATTTGGGTTTCCAGTCTCTCCAAAAGAATGTGGTCATCTCTCCCAAGTGGACATTCTCAATTTTTCCCCTAACCCATCTGTCTATCTCCTCATTTGAATTCCATGCTGTCACAGTCACTAGCCCATTTAAGCTTAATATCCTTGTCATCTATCGCCCTCCAGATTCCCTTGGAGAGTTCATCAATGAGCTTGACGCCTTGATAAGTTCCTTTCCTGAGGATGGCTCACCCCTCACAGTTTTGGGGGATTTCAACCTCCCTATGTCCACATTTGACTCATTTCTCTCTGCCTCCTTCTTTCCACTCCTCTCCTCTTTTGACCTCACCCTCTCACCGTCCCCCCCTACTCATAAGGCAGGCAATACGCTTGACCTCATCTTCACTAGATGCTGCTCCTCTACTAATCTCACTGCAACTCCCCTCCATGTCTCCGACCACTACTTTGTTTCCTTTTCTCTCTCGCTCTCCTCCCACACTACTCACTCTGCCCCTACACAGATGGTAATGCGCCGCCGCAACCTTCGCTCTCTCTCTCCCACTACTCTCTCCTCTTCCATCCTATCATCTCTTCCCTCTGCTCAATCCTTCTCCCTCCAATCTCCTGATTCTGCCTCCTCAACCCTCCTCTCCTCCCTTTCTGCATCCTTTGACTCTCTGTGTCCCCTATCCTCCCGGCCGGCTCGGTCCTCCCCTCCAGCTCCGTGGCTTGATGACTCACTGCGAGCTCACAGAACAGAGCTCCGGGCAGCGGAGCGGAAATGGAAGAAAACTAAACTCCCTGCCGACCTGGCATCTTTTCACTCCCTCCTCTCTACATTTTCTTCATCTGTTTCTGCTGCTAAGGCCACCTTCTACCACTCTAAATTCCAAGCATCTGCCTCTAACCCTAGGAAGCTCTTTGCCACATTTTCCTCCCTCCTGAATCCCCCCCCCCCCCCCCTCCTCTCTCTCTGTGGATGACTTCGTCAACCACTTTGAAAAGAAGGTTGACGACATCCGATCCTCGTTTGTTAAGTCTAATGACACTGCTGGTCCTGCTCACACTGCCCTACCCTATGCTTTGACTTCTTTCTCCCCTCTCTCTCCAGATAAAATCCTGCGACTTGTGACTGCAGGCCGCCCAACAACCTGCCCGCTTGACCCCATCCCCTCCTCCCTTCTCCAGACCATCTCCGGTGACCTTCTCCCCTACCTCACCTCGCTGATCAACTCATCCTTGACCGCTGGCCATGTCCCTTCCGTCTTCAAGAGAGCGAGAGTTACTCCCCTTCTCAAAAAACCAACACTCGACCCCACTGATGTCAACAACTACAGACCAGTATCCCTTCTTTCTTTTCTTTCCAAAACTATTGAGCGTGCCGTCTTTAGCCAACTCTCTTGCTATCTCTCTCAGAATGACCTTCTTGATCCAAACCAATCAGGTTTCAGGACTGGTCATTCAACTGAGACTGCTCTTCTCTGTGTCACGGAGACTCTCCGCACTGCTAAAGCTAACTCTCTCTCCTCTGCTCTTGTCCTTCTAGACCTGTCTGCTGCCTTTGATACTGTGAACCATCAGATCCTCCTCTCCACCCTCTCCGAGCTGGGCATCTCCGGCGCGGCTCACTCCTGGATTGCGTCCTACCTGACCGGTCGCTCCTACCAAGTGGCGTGGCGAGAAGCTGTCTCCGCACCACGTGCTCTCACCACTGGTGTCCCCCAAGGCTCAGTTCTAGGCCCTCTCCTTTTATCCCTATACACCAAGTCACTTGGCTCTGTCATATCCTCACATGGTCTCTCCTATCATTGCTACGCTGACGATACACAACTAATCTTCTCCTTTCCCCCTTCTGATAACCAGGTGGCGAATCGCATCTCTGCATGTCTGGCAGACATATCAGTATGGATGACGGATCACCACCTCAAGCTGAACCCTGGCAAGACGGAGCTGCTCTTCCTCCCGGGGAAGGACTGCCCGTTCCATGATCTCGCCATCACCGTTGACAACTCCGCTGTGTCCTCCTCCCAGAGTGCGAAGAGCCTAGGCGTGACCCTGGACAACACCCTGTCGTTCTCCGCCAACATCAAGGCGGTGACCCGCTCCTGCAGGTTCATGCTCTACAACATTCGGAGAGTACGACCCTGCCTTACACAGGAAGCGGCACAGGTCCTGGTCCAGGCGCTTGTCATCTCCCGTCTGGACTACTGCAACTCGCTGTTGGCTGGCCTCCCTGCCTGTGCCATTAAACCCCTACAACTCATCCAGAATGCCGCAGCCCGTCTGGTGTTCAACCTTCCCAAGTTCTCTCACGTCACCCCCCCTCCTCCGCACACTCCACTGGCTTCCAGTTGAAGCTCGCATCCGCTACAAGACCATGGTGCTTGCCTATGGAGCAGTGAGGGGAACGGCACCTCTGTACCTTCAGGCTCTGATCAGTCCCTACACCCAAACGAGAGTATTGCGCTCATCCACCTCTGGCCTGCTGGCTCCCCTTCCTCTGCGGAAGCATAGTTCCCGCTCAGCCCAGTCAAAACTGTTCGCTGCTCTGGCACCCCAATGGTGGAACAAGCTCCCTCACGACGCCAGGACAGCGGAGTCACTCACCACCTTCCGGAGACATTTGAAACCCCACCTCTTTAAGGAATACCTGGGATAGGATAAAGGAATCCTTCTACCCCCCCCCCCCCCCCAATTGTAAAGTGGTTATCCCACTGGCTATAGGGTGAACGCACCAATTTGTGAGTCGCTCTGGCTAAGAGCGTCTGCTAAATGACGTTAATGTGCCCTTGAGCAAGGCACTTAACCCTAATTGCTCCTGTAAGTCGCTCTGGATAAGAGCGTCTGCTAAATGACTAAAATGTAAATGTAAATGTAAATGTAAATATAACATTATATGCCGGAGCAGAATTCTACTGTCTGAAAAGGTACAGACGCTTTTGATGCAGCACTTTTTTTAATTGTCTGAAAAGTTATCAATTATCCACATTACTGTAGCTGCGTTCTATGTCTGTAAAGGGTTGCGGTAGATATAACTTCATTGCCCGGTCCTAGCGGTCATACATACTTAATAGGACCATTATTCTGCATTGTGAATGAATGGAAAACCGATTTTAAAAAATGGCAGTTTAAACGTTAAGAAATGTTTTCAATTTGTCACATCCTTAGTCCAAACACAGTAAGGCCTTTATAGGCATGTTCTTTTGCAAACTTACCCAGCTTCTCATCACAGACATCCAACTAATTCTCTCTTATATAAACATCACAACACTTGTCCTGTGAATTGTCTCTGTGACGCTTGTTATGTGTGATGTGTGTTGATTGATATGATGTGAAAGCAGAGGAGAGGGCATGACTGGTGACATTACTGGCAGGCTTCTAACCCCTGGTCTGGTGTTACCTGGCCTACGTGAGGCTTTGTGTCTGCTCTTTGACATGGGGAGAATGGAGAGTTGCTAAGGTCGTTTGAGAGATGCCCTGGGGGCTTTGTGGAGGTGATTTGTTATTGTGAATCTGTCATGATGTGAAGTGACACCCTCATTTGTTATCAGCCATAAATAGGACTTGGATCAATATGGAGAGATGGTGAGCCACTGATAGTCTATTGATAGTTTGTTGATTTATAGGGGGACTCTTTTTATTACAAAATAATGTATTACCACTTTAACATCGTAAAAACACACATTAGCACCTATAGAAAACAAATAAAGTGATTGAATGAATGCTACTACCCACACACACGCACACTTCTTATTCTGAAAACTGGAAGTATCTATCTTTTAAGGAGCCTACCTTGTTGTAGGTTTTTACAGAACTCAAAACCATTCTGGGATTTTATTAGACCATTGAACAAAAACCTACTGCTTAAAGAGCAACTGCCCCTAAAAACAAACTTCTCATTTAGAAAACAGCCTATGTGGCATCGATATGAGTCAGAAACATTTATCCGACTGTCAAAATTGACTACAAAGTGTAAATAGGATAGTTTTGGTCATAAAGTCAAGTCACCCAAAACTGTTTGTGAGACTTGTGGTCTTGACTGCATCACAAAGTAAATTAAGGTTGGGTTTGTTTCAATCCTGCCCACAGCTGGCAGCACACAAGTAATCATCAATTCGAAGTGCAGCTGCACACGACCCAATCGTAATGCTTGTGGTAAATTTGGGTTGACTTTCGATATCCCTATAGGGCTAGTTAGGGACCATCGGTAAATTCCACAATGTACATGGGACAATATGTTAAAATTCCAATAGCTCAAAATTTCAATGACTTAAAAACCTTAAACCAACTATACATTGTAGAAATGCATATACTGATATTGAATGAGAAAACTAAAAGGTGTTCAACATGAAAATATTGTCTCATTTACATTCTGTAATTTATTGACGGTCCCTAACTAGCCCCAGAGATGGGCTACCCAAAGTCAAACCAACTTTGCCACATTTGCACACTAGCTGACTCTTTAGCTAAATAATTTGGCAAACTCTTCTCACCTGTGAACACACACACCTACATCAAAACACAGCCCCAAACCAACTGACGTTTGAATTCAGTCATGGCCGCTAGCATTTCTTAATGAACCAAAACTTCAATGAGGCCAAATCAGGAAGTTCAGTCACCCTTTAAATACCACAATGCAGGTTCCATTGAATTGAGCCCATAATCAATCTTCACAGATGTCACCTGTTTACAGAACCGTGTAGCTAAGTCCTTGGCGAAGACATGTCACTGAGCCCCCTAGTCTAGTTTATGGGTGTATGGTGTCCCTCTCCCACTGTCTCTCCGTGGGGATGGTGGTGGTGGGCAACATGGAAGGAAGCCCTCAGGGTCTCCAAATCAAACAGACTGAGCTTCTGTCAAGCCCTACTGTAGTGTAGCAGTCACCTGCACCCCAGGCTGCCTGCCTGTCTCTCTGCCTGCATCCTGCCTCTCTGCCTGCCTGCCTCTCTGTCTGCCTGCATCTCTGCCTGCCTTTCTCTCTGCCTGCATCCTGCCTCTCTGCCTGCCTGCATCTCTGCCTGCCTCTCTGCCTGCCTGCATCTCTGCCTGCATCCTGCCTCTCTGCCTGCATCCTGCCTCTCTGCCTGCCTGTCTCTCTGCCTGCATCCTGCCTCTCTGCCTGCATCCTGCCTCTCTGCCTGCCTGCATCTCTGCCTGCCTGCATCCTGCCACTCTGCCTGCCTGCATCTCTGCCTGCCTCTCTGCCTGCCTCTCTGTCTGCCTGCATCTCTGCCTGTCTTTCTGCCTGCCTGCATCTCTGCCTGCCTCTCTGCCTGCCTACATGTCTGCCTGCCTGCATCTCTGCCTGCCTCTCTGCCTGCCTCTCTGCCTGCCTGCATCTCTGCCTGCCTCTCTGCCTGCCTGTATCTCTGCCTGCCTGCATCTCTGCCTGCCTCTCTGCCTGCCTCTCTGCCTGCCTCTCTGCCTGCCTGCATCTCTGCCTGCCTCTCTGCCTGCCTGTATCTCTGCCTGCCTGCCTCTCTTTCTGCCTGCATCTCTGCCTGCCTCTCTGCCTGCATCCCTTCATCTCTGCCTGCCTGCCTGCCTGCCTGCCTGCCTGCCCGCCTGCCTGCCTGCCTGCCTGCCTGCCTGCCTGCCTGCCTGCCTGCCTGCCTCTGTGAGAGGGGGTATACATTATTAACCTGCCTCACCCAGGCCCTCCACACAATGAATAATGGAGAAGGCAGCTCAAGTACAGGCGTTTGGTGAGTCAAACACCAGGCTGTGATAGATGGCTCTGGGCCCACTGTGTCACACACATCCCCTTCCTCCCCCACCCCCACCCCAAACACAGACACACATAACCTCTGGAAGTCACCCTATCCCGCTCTGAACATCCACCGCATCCACCTCCACGGCTCAGTTTCTTCACAGGCTGTTTCTTTGTTGTTGAGGGATTTTTCTATTTTTTTGCCTGTTTTGTTTCCTTGCTGACGTTTGAAGTTACATCCAAGACTACTCAGATTTTTTCAAAGGCAGGCCCCAACCCAAGCCTGTTCTCTTATCCCATTGCCAAATGCAAGTGGGTCAGATGGAAGCGCAAGAGTTCTCTGTACACCGATAGGCAGGCAGGCAGAGAGGCAGGCAGGCTGGCAGGCAGGCAGAGATGTTTAAAGGCCCAATGCAGCCGTTTTATATCAATTTCTAATAATTTCTGGGTAACAATTAAGTACCTTACTGTAAATTATTGCCATTAAAATAGCAAGCAATAATTGTGCTATGACTGTCTGGATCTGAGTGGGAAGGGGAAAACTGAAAACTAGCTGTTATTGGCAGAGATGTTTGGAACTCTCTTTGTTATTGGTCTATTAACCAATTTACAGCATGGTGATGTCACCATGGAAAGCCAAAACTCCCGCCCATGCAAACCTGCTGATTAGAAGGTGCTGTGTAGATTGCATTTTCAACCAGCAACTATCAGGAATTAACACTGATCAAATGTTTACCGACTTTTACAGTGTTAGTATCAACAGCTGTTGTACAATATGATATAAAACTGAATTTTGACTGCACTGGGCCTTTAAGGATAATGTTGGCTTTCCTAGGTGGGCATGTTTTCAGCAGCTGTAGGAGCTGGGATATACAGTCGTCTTAGCCATAGACTTGCATTTTCTATTTCAAGATGATTATTGTTCATCTTTATCACCAGCCTGCTGTCAAACTGTCATACGTACTTCAGAATGACACTTTTCATATGAAAATAAAAATAAAAATGGGTAAATATTTATTTGACCTTTATCTGAATGGGAGTCACCATTGAGACAAAGGTCTATTTTACAAGGGAGCCCTGCATATACACAATTTACAAAATAACCTAAAATACAATGTCAAATTAAATACAATATAATTAAAATATTCAAGAAAAACAATCACATTCCTCAGCAAGGAGGTCCTCAATTAACATTTTGAATTGCCCAATAGGGACCAGAACATCAAGTTGTAGGGAACTCTGTAGGTTGTTCTACACATTGGTGGAAGGAAACTAAAAGCAGATTTACCCAACTCTGAGGACACCAAAGGGATTTCCAGAGGTAGCCATCCCTGAATTAAGGCCATCCCCTTAAGGATGTGAGGCAGTGGTTCCCAACCAGGGGTACTAGGACCCCTGGGGGTACTTGGCCTATCCACAGGGAGTACTTGAGAAGACTCATGAGGCCATAGGCCTACTGGTAAAATGCACATTAGGGGGTAAATCAGGGGTACTCTGGGCAGAGCAAAATTCAGTTGGTGGTACAGTAACCGAAAAAGGTTGGGAACCACTGATGTGAGGTCCGGCTGGAGTTTTTGTAAGAGAGTTTTATAGATAAAAGAAAGCAAGTGGAAAAGTGTGTGTGCGTGGGTCTCTCACTGCAACCTCTAGATACTGCTCCTTCAACATACACATATTTGACAGTATCTCAGCAGAATTGAGCATTTTTGATCTTATGAACTTTTAATGTATTGGTCCTTACAGGTACAGACACACAACCAGTAGGTGATTACAGTTGGCTATGTAGAGGACCAATCAACACCTTTACTTCATGAAAATTCTACGTCATGTTGGACTTTAGAAGGAACAAAATTGTACGTTTGTTTGTGTGTGTGTGTGTGTTTGTGTACGTTTGTGTGTGTGCGTGTGTGTGTGTGTAACAGTACATGTGATGCATTTGGTTACATTATGCACCCACCTTCGTCGTCTTGACTTTGTTTCCAGTACTGCAGCTCCAGCCTTTCAGATCAGGCAACACTTTACACTCCTCCCCATCCATACATGGATGCATCTGACACCACCACTTCTGGGCAACTATGGATGCTGCAAGAGGCAAAGAGAGAGGAACACATGCGGTTTGTGCGTGACCTTTACAAGACGGTGAAAAGACACATCCACTAGTAGACTGCTGTAACAACTGAACCAACAAAAAATATATATGTTTCTACAAACATGTCAGTGAGTGTGAATGGAAGGTATTTTGATCCATGACTGACAGTAGAGTAATGAGAGATCCTCCATGACTGACAGTAGAGTAGTGAGAGATCCTCCATGACTAACAGTAGAGTAGTGAGAGATCCTCCATGACTGACAGTAGAGTAATGAGAGATCCTCCATGACTGACAGTAGAGTAGCGAGAGATCCTCCATGACTAACAGTAGAGTAGTGAGAGATCCTCCATGACTGACAGTAGAGTAGTGAGAGATCCTCCATGACTGACAGTAGAGTAGTGAGAGATCCTCCATGACTGACAGTAGAGTAGTGAGAGATCCTCCATGACTGACAGTAGAGTAGTGAGAGATCCTCCATGACTGACAGTAGAGTAGTGAGAGATCCTCCATGACTGACAGTAGAGTAGTGAGAGATCCTCCATGACTAACAGTAGAGTAGTGAGAGATCCTCCATGACTGACAGTAGAGTAGTGAGAGATCCTCCATGACTGACAGTAGAGTAGTGAGAGATCCTCCATGACTAACAGTAGAGTAATGAGAGATCCTCCATGACTGACAGTAGAGTAGTGAGAGATCCTCCATGACTAACAGTAGAGTAATGAGAGATCCTCCATGACTGACAGTAGAGTAGTGAGAGATCATCCATGACTGACAGTAGAGTAGTGAGAGATCCTCCATGACTAACAGTAGAGTAGTGAGAGATCCTCCATGACTGACAGTAGAGTAGTGAGAGATCCTCCATGACTAACAGTAGAGTAATGAGAGATCCTCCATGACTGACAGTAGAGTAGTGAGAGATCCTCCATGACTGACAGTAGAGTAGTGAGAGATCCCCCATGACTGACAGTAGAGTAGTGAGAGATCCTCCATGACTGACAGTAGAGTAGTGAGAGATCCTCCATGACTAACAGTAGAGTAATGAGAGATCCTCCATGACTGACAGTAGAGTAGTGAGAGATCCTCCATGACTAACAGTAGAGTAATGAGAGATCCTCCATGACTGACAGTAGAGTAGTGAGAGATCATCCATGACTGACAGTAGAGTAGTGAGAGATCCTCCATGACTAACAGTAGAGTAGTGAGAGATCCTCCATGACTGACAGTAGAGTAGTGAGAGATCCTCCATGACTAACAGTAGAGTAATGAGAGATCCTCCATGACTGACAGTAGAGTAGTGAGAGATCCTCCATGACTGACAGTAGAGTAGTGAGAGATCCCCCATGACTGACAGTAGAGTAGTGAGAGATCCTCCATGACTGACAGTAGAGTAGTGAGAGATCCTCCATGACTGACAGTAGAGTAATGAGAGATCCTCCATGACTGACAGTAGAGTAGTGAGAGATCCTCCATGACTGACAGTAGAGTAGTGAGAGATCATCCATGACTGACAGTATAGTAATGAGAGATCCTCCATGACTGACAGTAGAGTAGTGAGAGATCATCCATGACTGACAGTAGAGTAGTGAGAGATCCTCCATGACTGACAGTAGAGTAGTGAGAGATCCTCCATGACTGACAGTAGAGTAGTGAGAGATCCTCCATGACTGACAGTAGAGTAGTGAGAGATCCTCCATGACTGACAGTAGAGTAGTGAGAGATCCTCCATGACTGACAGTAGAGTAGTGAGAGATCATCCATGACTGACAGTATAGTAATGAGAGATCCTCCATGACTGACAGTAGAGTAGTGAGAGATCCTCCATGACTGACAGTAGAGTAGTGAGAGATCCTCCATGACTGACAGTAGAGTAGTGAGAGATCCTCCATGACTGACAGTAGAGTAGTGAGAGATCCTCCATGACTGACAGTAGAGTAGTGAGAGATCCTCCATGACTGACAGTAGAGTAATGAGAGACCCTCCATGACTGACAGTAGAGTAGTGAGAGATCCTCCATGACTGACAGTAGAGTAGTGAGAGATCCTCCATGACTGACAGTAGAGTAGTGAGAGATCCTCCATGACTGACAGTAGAGTAGTGAGAGATCCTCCATGACTGACAGTAGAGTAGTGAGAGATCCTCCATGACTGACAGTAGAGTAGTGAGAGATCCTCCATGACTAACAGTAGAGTAGTGAGAGATCCTCCATGACTGACAGTAGAGTAGTGAGAGATCCTCCATGACTGACAGTAGAGTAGTGAGAGATCCTCCATGACTGACAGTAGAGTAGTGAGAGATCATCCATGACTGACAGTAGAGTAGTGAGAGATCCTCCATGACTGACAGTAGAGTAGTGAGAGATCCTCCATGACTGACAGTAGAGTAGTGAGAGATCCTCCATGACTGCGAGCTGACTGGCTGGCTGGCTGCCTGGCTGAAGTGTATTACAGGGTGTGGGTCAATGTCAAACCGATGAACACAGTGGCAGGAGGGGAATAAACAGAGCGGTGTGGTGGAGGTGGGAGAGGAGCAGAGCTCCAAGGTCTACAGCTGCCTCTAAGGAGGCCTGTAGGGGGTAAGGCTTCCCTTGAGACTTATAATGCTTCAGCAAGCAGTGTCAAGATGGGAGGAAGCCCCTGTCAGAGCCATTACAGTACAGAACACAGGACAGGGATCGATTCACCTGTCGGAGGGGCCACTGTGGACATGATATTAAATTACCTGCCCCCCTCTCTACTTCAGTGAGCCAGTGCAGCAGATCCCCAGGCCTTAGTGTCTCATAGTCCAGCAGACAGACAGCAGACAGACAGCACATAGACAGCAAATGGCTGGCTCAATAAGAAGATGACTGGGTCGGTTTGAAATATCCCAAACAGATCACAAACAGAATGCTCTGAGACAATTGCTCTGAAGTGCTCTTTACCAATTAAATGGTTAGATTGATCAGTAGATTGATCAGTAGAAGAAAATATCTTACCCTAAATAATAATAATAATAATAATAATAATAATAATAATAATAATAATAATAATAATAATAATAAAAAATGTGACCCATCACCTGGATTCGGTCCTATATATCAAAATTTGAAATTGTATTTTCTACATTGGATAAAAGTAGAGACTCCGAGCTAGAAAATGGTATATCATACACTGTAGTTGAGGAACAACGGAAAAGTAAGTCTGCTTTGAAAGTTGATAAACTTGTAACCCCACTTTTTAGAAAATGACCCATGACATTTTTGGTACACCTACTGGAGAGCTCTTCTTTGTCTACACCCATTCAGCATTGTTCCTCTTAAGCCTTCGCCCCACCCATCTCTTTAAGGATTCAAATGTGAGGCCATGTGCTAAACAGAGTGAATACGGTAGTGTAGTAAACAACCAAAGCTTTCAAGACTAAAAGTCGTGAAAGTAGTAGCAAAAAGTAGTAGTAAAAATACACTTTATTTAGTCCTTGGCCAATATCCTAATCTGACTTTGGTGCAGGTCATGTTGTTATTCATATTACGGTCTCCGGTAAACACACACTTTATTATATCAAATCTATGTTAATTTGTCACATGCACAGGATACAGAAGGTGTAAACAGTTAAGTGAAATGATTACTTGCATAGTGGAGTCTTTTGTTTAGACATGTACAGTGAGGAAAAAAAGTATTTGATCCCCTGCTGATTTTGTATGTTTGCCCACTGACAAAGACATGATCAGTCTATAATTTTAATGGTAGGTTTATTTAAACAGTGAGAGACAGAATAACAACAAAAAAATCCAGAAAAACGCATGTCAAAAATGTTATAAATTGATTTGCATTTTAATGAGGGAAATAAGTATTTGACCCCTCTACAAAACATGACTTAGTCCTTGGTGGCAAAACCCTTGTTGGCAATCACAGAGGTCAGACGTTTCTTGTAGTTGGCCACCAGGTTTGCACACATCTCAGGAAAGATTTTGTTGCACTCCTCTTTGCAGATCTTCTCTTAGTTATTAAGGTTTCGAGGCTGACATTTGGCAGCTCAAACCTTCAGCTCCCTCCACGTATTTTCTATGGGATTAAGGTCTGGAGACTGGCTAGGTCACTCCAGGACCGTAATGTGCCTCTTCTTGAGCCACTCCTTTGTTGCCTTGGCTGTGTGTTTTGGGTCATTCCGAACTCATCTCTCGGCATGTCCAGCCCATCCATTATCTCAGCCAATAATGGATAGCAGGAAGGTTCCTGTATTTTTCCGTGGCTAAACCAACTAGGCTCAGAATTTAAGAATTTTATTCATATTTACAGATGGCATACAAGCTTGCTATTAAGGCACATGAAAGTTCACATGTTCCAGAAGGAATTACTGCAAAATAATATATATATTTTTTTTACGTTAAAATGCCTCTCCTGTGAAGTAGTGATGTGCGAATACGCCTAGCTTCTTAAACGGGTCACAAATGTTGAAATTTCGAGGAGAAAAAAAATCATTTGAAACAACACTATTTCTAAGTGACACAAGACCAATGTTGGTACAATATACTGCATCTTACAGTGGTGTTAATCCTGTCAATAAAGAAACAACAACAACGACCGTACCGTCCACACAAGATGGAGCCGCTCTTGTTGTCCCGGCAACCTGTCCAGGGAAGCAGGAACATTTGACCGTCTGGGATCTCTCCTCGATCTTGTTCTTGTTGCAGCAGCGGTGGGCGGCGGTCACTTCACAGGTCCCTGCTTTGACATGCACTGCAAACACAAACAGAGGTGGTTCCATGTTAGAATCATGTTCAACACTCCAGCTCCTGCAGACCACATACTGTAGGCTACAGCTGTGTCTGTAAGGACATATATTAAATGACCCTATCCTCATTAGTGCACTTTGTATGTTTGGCCCAGGTTTGAACTGTCACATAGGGCTGCCACATAGGGCTCTGACCAGAATAGGGCACTACATGTAGGGGTATTCAAATATTTCCCTATGAGGGCCTGAGCCTGCTGGTTTTCTGTTCTACCTGATAAATAATTACACCCACCTGTTTAAATCAGTCCCTGATTAGAGGGGAAGATTGAAAAAAAGCAGTGGAACTGGCTTTGAGGTCCATATCTGAATTTGAGGGATATGGGGAGACAGACAAAGACTGTACCCTACCGAGTCTATAAGACATATCTTTGCATGCACCCTACCGAGTCTATAAGACATATCTTTGCATGTACCCTACCGAGTCTATAAGACATATCTTTGTATGTACCCTACCGAGTCTATAAGACATATCTTTGTATGTACCCTACCGAGTCTATAAGACATATCTTTGTATGTACCCTACCGAGTCTATAAGACATATCTTTGCATGCACCCTACCGAGTCTATAAGACATATCTTTGCATGTACCCTACCGAGTCTATAAGACATATCTTTGCATGCACCCTACCGAGTCTATAAGACATATCCTAGTATGTACCCTTCAGAGTCTAATCCAACTAAAGCAATGAGTATCTTGATTGGGAATACCCCTCCTGACCTTAAATGGCCTTTAAAAAAGCCAGAGAGGAGTGGGGAGGAGGAAGTGTATTAGAACCTACCAGCCAGGGACCGCTATATAGCTGACCTGCAGCTCACTGCACAGATACATCTCTCATGTACTTTCATGCTTAAATTGTTCTCCACGTAGGGGGCCTTTTCTTTCCTGCAACTGATGAATTATGCATAGGGAAAATCCTTCTTTAAAAGCTGAGAGGGCCACAACTTCAGTGGTGAGAACATGGACAATATAGTCATTGCTTCATGAAGTAAGTGATAACCTCATATTAAAAATACCCCATATAGATTGGTGCTGAATTATTAATTCCCGGTATAAAATGGAGACAGTGGAGATGATTGAACTAGGAATGCATCAATCCACAGCAACGTTAGCAGAAATACGTTGTCGATGGTGTGTTTTTAAATGCCTCCTTTGATGTAAGGAATCGTGGATTGAAAGACTACAGAATTATTGTGTCAATTGAGTTTACATCAATAACAGTATGACCTGTGTTATACCATTTACAAAATGAGCCTTTTAATATTTGGAATAATTGTTCACTGCGGGTGACTATATCCTTCATGTACACAGTTGTCTTTTTAGATTAAATAAAAAATCAATTTGTGTCTATTTTATATTCATGACCTTTCGTCTTAGTAGGCCTATGTGTAATTCTTTAGTTATTTACACATCATTGTCAGTGGAGAATTAACGATTAAAAGTTTCAGTGTTATTTTCAGATCAGCCTTAATTTCGTCTGTAAAGATTTTCAATTTGGGACCTGAATTGAAAATAGATTGAAAATGGGCCTCCATCTTGTCATTAGTGAGCAATCCAAAAATCTCATCTACAACATTAAAAACATTTTGCTTCCAATCAATAAGGGGCCATTCACATTCCAATAAAAGGCCAGTTAACAATTGGTGATTGAGTGCTTTCCAGCCAACAAAACCTTACTGATGCAAACACAGGTGAGGGTCTTCGTCTGTGATGTGATTATCTTTAAGCCACAGGCACACCCCTGGGTCACAGTTTCAATTGCTCAAATTGAGTATTCAAACTTTTTTGAAAAGGGGGAGATAGCTGTGTGTGACTGATAGGTAATCAATAATGGTCTAGTAAAGCTCTGTGACTCTCAGTCACTCTGTTATACTGGGAGATAAACAGAACAATCCAATGTCAGAGTTGAAGGAAATTATCTGCTATGTGATCAAGAGGAGAATTTGAGAACACGCAATAGATTCAGAGAACTGTGAAATATCATAATAATAGCTGCCTGTGATTTCTCCATAATAATTTGATCAACTTGTTCACTAAAAAGTACAGAGCATTCTACCGCAGAGAAATGACTGCTTCAACGCCCCAAGCTCCAAACCGAGCAGCCACGTCCGCTAGCCCTATATGGCTAGCCTTGCCAAGTCACCCGGTTCATCGGCTGCTCCTCCACCCCCAGCACGCCCACCAGGCTATTTGTGGTCTGAGAGGAGGAGAGCCAGCGCAACAGATCAACAGAGCTCCAGTACAGGGTTGGCTCTGGGCTGGCTAGCTGGAAGACTGGGTGGGTTTAATCATTAAGGAGTAGTTGGCAGCATGCAGCCAGAGCTGTGAGGAGAGGAACCTGTGAAAACGACTGAGTCAAACCCCACACCAAGCTGTGTGCACGGTGGGGATGGGGTAGGGGGTGAGGTGAGGGAGATCAGGGTGTGTGTTACAGGGGTGATGTGAGGGGAGGGGCGAGCCTTGGCTAGTAACTACACACAACAAAGAAAAGCCATAAGCCGGCTGACTGCTATACCATAAGCCTATACCCTCACCCTATATCCTCAGCCTGCTGACCTTGGGAGAACATTGCTGCGGGGACTTGCTTCCATTCAGCCACAAGAACATTAGTGAGGTTGGGCACTGATGTTGGGCGATTAGGTCTGGCTCGCAGTCGGCGTTCCAATTCATCCCAAAGGTGTTCTATGGGGTTGCGGTCAGGGCTCTGTGCAGGCCAGTCAAGTTCTTCCACACCGATCTCAACAAACCATTTCTGTATGGACCACTGCTCCAGAGTCCAATGGTGGCGAGCTTTACACCACTCCAGCCGACGCTTGGCATTGCGTGTGGTGATGTTAGGCTTGTGTGCGGCTGCTTGGCCATGGAAACCCATTTCATGAAGCTCCCTAGGAACAGTTGTTGTGCTGACGTTGCTTCCAGAGGTAGTTTGGAACTTGGTAGTTAGTGATGCAACTGAGGACAGACGATTTTTACACGCTATGCGCTTCAGCACTCGGCGGTCCCGTTCTGTGAGCTTGTGTGGCCTACCACTTCGCTGCGGATGAGCCGTTGTTGTTCCTAGACATTTCCAATTCACAATAACAGCACTTACAGTTCACTGGGGCAGCTCTAGCAGGGCAGACATTTGATGAACTGACTTGTTGGGAAGGTGGCATTCTATGACGGTGCCACGTTGAAAGTCACTGAGCTCTTCAGTAAGGCCATTCTACTGCAAATGTTTGTCTATGGAGACTGCATGGCTGTGTGCTCAATTTTATAGATCTGTCCGAATCCACTGGCTCATTCATCCCCCCTCCTTTCCCCTGTAACTATTCCCCAGATAGTCAACTTACCTACACAAATATATAATAATAATAATAATAATAATAATAATAATTTGAAGGGGTGTCCACATACTTTTGTATATATAGTGTACCACCAGGCTCTTTAGGATCTCTTTGAGATCAATGGAGAGGATGCACAGTACTAATAGTATAGCCAGGATAATGTCTCAATGTGCCAGCTAGATAGAAGCGTCTCCTCCTCTTCGTCTTGCAGTGTTGTCCAGCTGTGCTCGTCCAGACAGCTGGCCAAATGGCTCCCAACACCTGTGATCAATACGTTTCACTTAAAGCACGTCATTTAGGATTGTCATCAGTTAGAATCAGCCAGCACCCACGTCAGCAGGAAGGAGAGAGGAGCAGGGTTGCAGGCAACACTAATGAGGACTGGCGTGAGGTCCTGACCTCCGGGCAATCAATAGCACTTTAAGCACAGAGCTCCTCTCTGCAATCATATTAATTGATCCCTGATTGATAAGTGCCAACATGCATCCAGCAGTTATTTAGAGCTTTGATGAGTCATAGAGGAGAGAAACACTGATAAATCTAGTGGAGGCAAGAAGCAGCTAATGAGTATGTTTTTCAGATGGTCTCATAGTATTACAGCATGGGGAGCTTTGCTTTTAAAGGCACAGCTTGAATGCATAAATTCAATCTGTAGCAATACATTCAGAATATTTTCTTATTGAATAGCACACACACACACACACACACACACACACACACACACACACACACACACACACACACACACAATGTTTTAGTTTTTAAAATAATCTACCCAGTGGACCTGTAGTTTGCAAATGTTCTTGACTGTCATACACATTTAATGTTATAAATAACTGCATACTGTATTGCTGAATGCTTGTGTAATTAAATGAATCCAGTACAAAAAGTAGACAAAAAATAGTACATTATAGTATTTGTGGCTAGTTTTGTGGTAAAAAATAATATTCAAATATTCTGTAATATATTCAAACAGCTCTAACAAAATGTAAATGATGCTGATAGATTTCTGTTGACAAGCAATTCCAGACACAAGGCAATTTTTAGGTTTGGAGATGGAACTAACACTTGTCGAAAGCTATTTGCTTCTCAGGAATATGTTTGTTTTCAATTAATATATGATAATGATTGGTGGAAACATCTAATATAGAAAAATAGAAATGTGACATTTCATGGAGGCTATGGGCCATTTAAAAATAAAATGTTGCATAGTCAGTCTGCATGTAGCCTCTGAAACAAAAAAGGAATATCAACTCAAATTTCCCTGCTCAAAAATATAGTTGCTGTCATATTTTTCATCAATAGTTTGCTAACATGATGACAAATAACAAACAAAAACAAATGGAAATAAATAGCCAAATTTCCTGTCAGTTTATTTATGATTTCTGTTCATGGGGAAATTAGCATTGCAGTGTGGCAGTCACTTGTCTTGATACACCCTGTGTTCTCCAGAAAGTGTCTCAGGCGTTTGTTTTGCGCAGTATACAAAACACTGACAAAGAGGTAGAGAAAGTCAAGCCACAGCAGAAAATAAAGAGAATTCCGCATTGAACCCAAGAGCCATGAAAACTGCATCGCTGCGAATATTAGAATTTCAGTTCATACAACATCCTTGATAAAATAAATGTATCTTTTAACTTGTCAGTCAT